GGTATGCTATGTGCTGGTGTCGGATGGGTGATGTGCAGGATAGTGTGTGGTGTGGTATGTGGTGTGCGTAGTGTGTGATGTGTGATATGTATAGTGTAGTCGAGTATGGTGTGTAGTGTAGTCGAGTATGCTGGCGTGGTATGTGGTATGTGGTATGTGGCATGTGGCATGTGGTATGTGGTATGTGGTATGTGGCATATGCATCGGGGTGCACTGCTGCTTTGGTCGTCTCTGTCGGCACCTGCACTGCTGCCACTGCTGCCACTGCTGCTGCTGCTGATGCTCCCTCTGTCGCTGCTGCTGATGCACACAACATGAGTACACAGCATGCGCAACAGCATGCACACTACGGCCGATGCTGTAGATCCACATCCACATCCACATCCACATCCACATCCACATCCACATCCACATCCACATCCACATCCACATCCACATCCACATCCACACCAAGTAGTCGACCCACCCATCCAGCTATCCCACCCATCCATCCATTCATTCATATATCCATTCATTCATATATCCATTCATTCATATATTCATATTCATCCAGCTTGCCACGTGACCGCCATCATGGTGCACACACACACGCTGTCGCCGGCCCCCGTCGACGCCAGACCACTCGCCCATATCTCATCTCGCTGGATTCAATACAGACACCCACTTTGGATGGCTGATACGCATAGATAGACTTGTGTTGCACATTGTGAGAGCATCGGCTTGTCCCCGGCGGCTTTGGGTCGTGGTGCTGCATTGGACCAATGTGTCTCGGGTCCTCCACCCCGTCGGCTGGCAAACGTCGCCACACAGCGCCATGTGCACGGCTTGCAGAGATAATGACCAAATATCTGCTCCGTTAGCTGGGCTACCCGGCGGTATCGGCTGCGTTGCTGTAGCGTTGCGGGCTGAGGAGTAGTGCGTTGTCAAAGCTCGGTCACTGCGCGGCACCGCCAAAAGTGGCCACAGTGTGGCCGACCACGATCCAGCTCGCCATCTTGCCAACGCCAATGCTCCGTCAATATCGAGTGGATGCATATGATACTTTGCACAGAGACAGATCTCGGTCCAAGGTATCTTTTGATGTCCTTTGAGCAGCATGGATGCATCGTCTCGCTGAGATGTACGCGTCAGAGCACCAAATTGACCCCCCGAACCCCTGTTTTCCGCAATTTCGAGCCACTTGCCCCATGCAAAGCATGCTGTTTGAGGCGCTAGATCGATTCTACGCACCGAGATGGTTTACCCATGGGTGGTCTCGTCGCTGGCGCGTGTCTGTATGGTGAGTTATGCGATTGCGTGCAAAGTGTGCAAAGATGCATGTTCGAAACCCAAAATGCAAGGTGCACCCCATGTACAAATCACTTGGCTGCCCTGGCCGAGACACATCGACCAAGAGTGTGTGGTACCGTTCGAAAGCCCTCGATCGGGACTATCTGGGGACGCTGGTTACATTGCTAGCATCCGCATCCATGCAGCACCAGTGCAGCGCAAACAGTGGCGGCCCAAGTGTGTTTTGTGTTTTCGGCCGCTATCGTGCGCAAATCTGCACCGATCGGCACGACTAGCACATGTGCATGACGGCCTCGGCCGGGGCTATCGCTCAAGCACAGGATCGATGGGGGTTGACATGGAGTTGTTGCAGGGATCTCTCGCGCAAGGTGCGGGGGGTGGGGTCAGATCTGGTTTCTATGTATTCGGTCCGTGGCGCACGCAAATCTGAACCGATCGGCACAACTAACACATGTGCATGACGGCCTTACTCGCGGCTATCTCTCAAGCTCAGGATGGACGGGGGTTGATATGGGTTTGCGACCAGGATCGCTGGCGAACGGTGCAGGGGGAGCGGGACAGATCTGTGTTTTGTGTATTCGGTCTGTGGCGCACGCAAATCTGGATGGATCGGCACAACTAACACATGTGCATGACGGCCTCGCTCTGGTCTATTGCTCAAGCTCAGAATCGATGGGGGTTGACATGGGGCTGTGGCAGGGATCGCTGGCAGACGGTGCAGGGGGGAGCGGGCAGATCTGCGTTTTGCGTTTTTGGCCCGTAGCGTGCGCAAATCTGCACCGATCGGCGCGGCTGGCACATGTGCATGACGGCCTCGCTCCGGGCTATCGATGGGCCAGCACTCGGGCATCGGCGCAGATGGCATCTGCATGCGTTTTGCATGCGTTTGCGGCCGGGATCGCTGGCGGGAGGGGCAGCGGGGCAGCGGCAGATCGCCTGTGCGGTCACGTGACGCGATCTTTTTTTTGCGTTTTTCGGCCCCCAGGCACCCCCCAGACCCCCCCGGCGATGCTGGGAGCGCATGCGGCTGC